ACAGGAGATGAGGACGAGACCTCTGAGAAGTGACCTAGGTGGAGATGTTATGGAGACAGGCGGAGATGAGGACGAGACCTCTGGAGAGAGATGGGGGCCGGGTAATTCTGAAGCAACAGCTGAAGACAGTTTTAGATGAAACTGGCAGGGACAGGGCAGGGCAGTCACTGCAGTGTCTGCATTTGGGGAGTGACAGGAACAGCTGGAGCAGGTGAGAGACCAGTGGTCAGACAGGCAGGAACAGAAGGACAGTGCCACAGGAGGCATGCTGTACAAGAGAGAACGTTACACACTGTGGTCAAGTATGTTTATTTGTCTTTAAAACTTCAGTGTTTTAGCCACTGCATCGTACTGCTGCAAGCCCACGATGTTTACGCTGTGATCAGATCTCCTGACAGATTAATGAAACTAATTTTTTGCCTTCACAGGTCTAGAGCTATGTAATATTTCAGATTATGCTCTGATTTTTCTGGACAAAGTATGTAGGGTGACCCTTGAGTTTACCTCTTAAGTTGCAATCTTAAAGTTAACCAAATACGTAACTCTGTTATCATTTTTGATATTTAATGGAGCGATATTTTAAGAAACAAAGCTATAAACGTTTCTCAGCACAATTAACAGATTCTCATTTTTATAGGTCAAAAGAACAGCTAAGACAAAATAGACTGTGATTGCAGTTAACAGAAAATGATCATGAAGGGATGACAATCCAGAGAAGAGGCACAGAAAGAGAAAACATCTGTTTCGTGACACAAAGCAGCTCTTTTTGGAGGCACTGTTGGAACCTACTAGCTATGTACTTAATACACATTCACATACAAATAGCAATAGCCTTTTCAATTTATATCTAAACTGCTAATAAATTCCTGGTGATACCCTATTTTTTCTTCACATAAACACTGTATAAAAAAATCTTCTAAAAATAAACTTCTGTATTTTTTGGGAGTTTGGTTTTCAGTTATTATTTAGGGTGATATACTATAGAAATCAGTTTGGTTTAATGCAAAGTGCACCTAATGGATGGAAAAGATGTTTATCACTCGTTATCACTCCCCACCTAAGCGCTGAGGAAATCATTGAACTCTCTGCGCTGTAATTGCTTTATCTATAAAATGAGCTAGCTGTTGTTCCTGGAAAAAGAATGTCCATGTCTCTATCTGTAGATAATAAATAAACACTGGCTCATTTTAAAAATTTATTATTACTATTATTCAGGCCATTCTGACATTGCTGCTGAAGTTTTCCTCTGCACCAAAAAGCAAATCAGTTGCTATCAAATCGATTCCAACTCCTGGTGACCCCACGTCGTGTGTCAGATTAGCACTGCGCTCCGTAGAGTTTTCAGTGGCTGATTTTTCGTAAGTAGATTGCTAGGCCTTTTCTTCTGAGGCGCCTCTGGGTGGACTGGACTACCAATGTTTCAGTTAGCAGCTGAGCATTTGGGTAAACACTTTATTACTCCGTATAGCATCAAACTTTTAAAATAGTACGTTCCTGTGATATCTATGAATTTCTTAAGAGACAGTAGTAATTTCAGGGGATAAAAGAAATTATCAATAAAATGACATTCTGGACAGAATTTGAAAAATCAAGAAATCCTACTCATGTGAAAAAAGTTTTAAATATGTAGTTTTTTCAAGAGGTAAATACTACGATAATAAATTAAAGCTAACGTTTCATGTAATTGCACAAACCTTTTCCTGCCAGTGTAAAACACCAATGATTGCCAGGATGAAAACACAGACGCCGATGAGCGCTATAGCCGTGAGCAGAACAATGTTACTTGGGGTGAGATACAGTTTGGCACTCCAGCTGTAGATGACACAGAAGAGTTAAAATGATAAATTTTAACTTAAAGATGACAAACTTGTACTGAGACCAAGAAGCAGAAAAGCTTATTAATTCACTCACCCATCTATCCGTTCATTATATATAAAAATGCAATTAAATTTAGATAGTGCTAAGAATATTGATGATCCTGCAGAGTTCAGATTTTACTGAGAGAACTGAAATAGAATTTTTGATGAAATTCTTTTTCTAAGTTGGATCCTGTGAGAATTATTCTTAAGGAAACTTATCAAGGGTACTTTGGACAATTTTAGACATCTTTTTTACATCTTGACTGACTTGCTGCGTTTAGAGTCTTGAACTCTAAGGCTAAGTGGTCCCATGATTTCCACAGCATCATCTGTCCACAAATGTGCTGTGACCATCTAAAACAAAGGGATGGCCGAGTGGGTGCAGCCAGACCTCCACTGTTCCTGTGTCACGTGGAGGGTTTACATCACCCCAGTGACTTGGGTTGAGACCTACTGCAGCATCACTTCCAGGCCCTCAGTGTTAATGCTGCATCCAGAGGTCGTTAGCATAAGTAAAACTAGCTCTTCCCTTTGGAAACAGTCCGTATAGGACAGAATACGCAAACCCTGCAGAGCCGAAGCCTGGAGTTCGTATCACCAACAGTGCAGGTGGTTTTATGCATGGACCTTTTGTTCTCTCTGAAAAATAATGGATACATTTTCATTTTAAAAGTTTAATAACTTTAACATCTTAAATAACATTCTGATGAATAACAAGTAGCTATTGCCTTATTCTGGGATGATAATTAAAATTTATTGATCCACAAGTTGGCCTCTAGTCAGTAAGTCTCAAAATATACCCAAACTAAATTGATGTTTTTTATTATCTACATAAATTTGAAAAGAACATTTTTTCAGAAAGAGCAAGAAAAACGTGAAAAATATTGCAATTAGGGAAGAAACAAAGCTATGACAGAATTTTCCAGAAGTTCATAAGAGTAGGAGAACCTTAAGAAAAGCAATAGCGCTGATTACCCCACATTAGCCACTCTCAGGGCCTTCCTCGGACTTACAGGCAGCAAAGACTCTAGCGGGGCCAAAGGCCAGGCCTCGTTTCTTACTCAGAAGCGGTCACTCTTTACAGTGTCCTGTGTCTCCTCCCGGACACATTTATGCATCTATATCACGTCTTCTACACAGAGAGGCACGCATTAGAACTGCTCTCCTGCCTTTTGTTCCCTCCTTTGCTTATCACTCTGAAGACGCTGTCTCACGTCCACGGCGGTTCGCGTGTACCTGGGTCACGGGATCGCGTCCAGAAGTACCCTGATCTGCGTAGTTCTTCACTCAGCACCCAGTTGTTCTAGTTTTGTTCTGAGCTGCACGTGTAGAAACCACCACAAACACACACCACAGGCTCATTCACACAGCCTCAGCCAGGACAACACCTGTTCCCGCTGGGCCTGTCTTACGCTGAATACTGTGAGAATGACTGTCGTTTCCTTAAGCAAGCTGGTCCTGTGGCCCACAGATCTACCATAACACACACCTAGTGTGCTGGTACACGGGCTCTCGGGGGGTCGGGGGATCCTGATTTTTGTAGCATTTGCCAGTTTTCACGTGTACATCTACTCCACCATGGCTGACTTTAAGCTGCCACCTGATGTCCCTGCACAGAGCTGGACAGAGATGACAGACTGGCGTACAAGCTGGCATGAGCTGGCCCAGCACACCGCTGAATACATCCCGTCTGAAATTGTAATAAAAACAATGACGCCTGCATTTTGAAGGGGACTGTAACAAGCAGGACCCCACGAGGACATATTCATATAAACATCCACCATTTCTCCTTGGTTATCTTCCCATATTGCTATCAGATTAGCATTAAGACCAAGTAATAGTTTTTGAAATTTCAATATTAGTGAATACCTCCCTCCACTGTCTACTTTTAAAAGAACAGAGTCAATCTGGTAATTTAAAGAAAAATGAATAAAGATAAGGTAGGGAATTAGAGTTAAATATTATGAAAGGAACATATTCTGCTAAAAAAAGGATAAAAATAGCTATTGTTTACTGGAAACTGAGATTTCCGGGCATCGTGTTATGTACATTGCATCCTCACAGCAACCCCGTAAGGCAGATCCTCCCTCTTCCCTTCTACAGACACAGAAATCAAGGCTCTGAGAGGACAAGGAGCGAGCCTCCAGTCTCCATCAGCAGCAGAGCTGTCTCCAGCCTAGGTCTGTCGGACTCCAAAATGTGCGTCCCACCACTCCTCAAAGACTTTATTAACAACATCAGTGCTTATTCAAAAGTTTTATATCCTGAAATTTTAGAGTTTTCAACTAGTAAACTGAAAACCAGTTTATTTAACCAGAATAGATATACATCCCCAATTCGTCACCCTGCTGTTTTTCTACTAGGATTTAATTTGCTCTTCACTGACAATGTCGGGACCCCTTTGTGTGGGTACGCTTACTCACTGAAGGTTGCTGTAAGCAAATAACGGGATAGCACTCAGTAGGGAACACAGCAGGAACAAGAGAGTTTTTAAAAGATGCAGCTGCATCTGTGATTCAGAGTTGTTAGTATTTCCCAAATGCAGCTGAAGGAAGGGCATTACCTTCGAGGAACATTGTGAGGGTACGGAATGACGATTAGTTGGGAGTTTGGAATGATTGCAGTCCACTCTTGTTTTCGTATAGTCTGGAAAAAGAATTGAAGAACATTTAAAAACCTTTTTGTTTTTTTCTAACAGTTAGTACACATACTGTTTTCTAACATTGGTTAACAACCCCACGGCATGTCAACACATTTAAAAACCATTTAAAAAAAAATTAAATACAGGAAAAAGCTCAAGTATTCTTTGAGAAATTTAAATCCTAGATATGAATTAAACTAAATTTACATATTAACATTAAATCCAAAATAGGGCTCCTGTGTCATCTGTTGGTAAAAATTTTCTGATCTTTCCTGAGAAGAGTTCTGTTTGTGTCTCATGGATTCATTCATTCATTCATTCATTTAGTATGTATTTGCTGTTTCCACTCTTAGGTAGCAGGCACCGTTCAAAGGGAGATGTGAAAACGCTGCTTGGAGACAGCATTCAAGTTGAGGGGGATTCTGACAGTAAACAAAACCCACGGCATGTTGTCAGCTGCCCTCAAGCCGACCGCGACGCCTGAGGAGCCCATGTGTGCAGAGGAGAACTGCCCCGTAGGTTATCAAGGCTGCGACCTTTGGGGAGCAGTTTGCCAGTCCTGTCTTCTGAGGTGCCTCTGCGTGATTTCGAATTGGCAATCTTCCCGCTGGTGGTTTAGTGCTTAGCCACGTGCCAGCCAGGGACTCCGCTACGGCCCGTCAGGTGGTGAAAAGTGGTAAGGTCAGAAATAAAGCAGGAAAGAGGGCTATTTGTGAACTTTATGGTAGAGGTGGTGGAAAGCTATACCGTATTTTCAAATCATGAGGTGTTCAATGTAAGGTAAGTTTAGTTAGGTCGCTACCAATCAATTCATTTTATTCCTTTAAAAAAAAGTACAATAAAAAAATTAAAAAATTAAAAATAATAAAAAAATTACATATTAAAAACCAAATTGTGAACAAAACAAATTTTTACTCACCTTCTCTCCAGATGGACGGGGAATACCAACATAAAGATGATCTAAAAAGTTTGCACTTCGCCCTAAACCAAGTACGCTGTATGGTAGTTGTAGAGCTAAATGCGCTGACTGGCTGAGCTGTCCAGCTAGATTTTAAAAAAAAAGAGGCAGTTTGGAAACATTGCTTTTTATCAAATGTTAAAAATTTAAGAATTAGAACTGATTCTGTAAAGATGAAGAAGTAAAATGAACCCCCAGTTCAGAAATATTAACGACCCATTAAAATAGCTTTATTGAGACATACTTTATACATCAAAAAACATTCACTTTAAGTGGACAGCTGACTGGTTTTGAGTATACTCAGAGTTGGTCAGTATCACCACAATCTATTTTTAGAACATTTTCATCACCCCAAAAAGAAAGCCCATACCCACTGGCAGTCTCCCCTAATTCCTACCCCTATCCTCCTAGCTGTGGGTAACCGTAAATCTACTTTTTGACTCTAGATTTGCCTATTCTGGCGATTTCCTAGGAATGCAATCACATAGTATGTGGTCTTCTGGGACTGGCGTGTCTCACTTAGTGTCATGTTTTAAAGGGTCATCAGTGCACAGCACGTTTCAGTATTTCCTTCCTTTAAATTGCCAAACAGTATTCCAGTGTATGGAATGGATATAACATATTTTGTTCATCCATCCAACAGTTACTGGAAATTTAGGTGGTTTCCACTTTTTGGCCTTTATGATTAATGCTGCTATGAGTATTTGTAGACAAGTTTCTGTGCTGACTTATGTTTTCATTGGGTATATACCTAGAAGTAGAATAGATGGATAACGTGGTAACTCTAGATTTAACATGTTAAGGAACCACCTGTTTTGTAAAGTGGTTGTACCAATTTACATTCCTACCAGCAGCATATGAGGGTTCTGATTTCTCCACATTCTTGTTAACATTTGTCAGTCCTTCCGATTGTAGCCATCCTATGGTTGTGAAGGTATCTCCTTGTGGTTTTGATTTGCATTTCTGTAATGACTAGTGATTTTGAGCATATTCTCATGTACTTCTGGCTATCTGTGTACCTTCCTTTTTATTTCTGTAAGGTTGGTAGTGATGTCTCTGCTTTTTATTTCCGATTTTAGTAATTTGAATCTTCTCTCTTTTTTCCTTGGTCAGTCTACCTAAATATTTGTCAGTTTTGTTGATTCTTTCAAGAAACAACTTTTGGTTTCACTGATTTTCTCAGTAACATAGACCAATCATAATCAATCAATAATCTATATATCTATATTTAATATAGTCATTAAAGAGAAATAAAATAGCTGGTCTCTGCTTGATGGTAAAATTTTCTACTGCTTTATATGACTAAGACACATCATTTTACTCGGACTTTGGGAAGATCCAGTTTTTAGTTGAGTGGATTCTCAACTAGCCACTTACTAAAAATTAGTGTATTCTATAGATAGCAAGCACCTGCTATTTATCAGGCACTCTGCTGATTACAGTATCACCTTAATCAATTTACGATAAAATTACAAATCTAAGACCTGTGTTAATTTAAGGTCACTACATAGATACTCTTGGTTTTTCAACAGTCCTACTTAGTGATAGCTTAAACACAAGAAATCTAACAGGCTCTGTTTACAGAAAGGCATCATCCATGAACAGAAAGTGTTTAATACCTTTTAAAAGTATGTGGTGGGACTAGGTGTTACACAGTGTGGCTCTGGAAAGACCCTAAATTATCCTAAATTAACAGCATATTGGAAGTTTGTGGGGCTATGTGTACAATGCTAAATTCCTAGGTTTTAGAAGTTAGGATTATAGCTACTCATGGAAAACCTTGTAACAATGGTTGGCCTCTTTTCCTGGGATGAGAATAACAGAATAAAGGAATCCACTGATATTTGACTGTTAATCCTTTGGAGTATTTTGAATTACAGCATATCTGAATTAAGCTTCTAGATAACTGACAAGGATAAAATGATAAAATATGTTTGTTATGAATTGAACTGTGTCCCCCAAAAACATATATTGAAGTCCGAACCCCTGCGACCTGGGAATGTGACCTTGTCTGGCAGCGGAGTCTCTGAAGATGTTTTCAGTGAGCATGTGGTCATACTGGAGTAGGGTGGTCCTAATCCAATATGAGTGGTGTCCTTATAAAAGGGGACAAGAGACAGAGAAAGGGAAGATGCCATGCGAAGATGGAGGGAGAGATTCAGGTGATTTATCTACAAGCCAAGGACACCACGATCAGCGGCCAGGTCACCAGAAGCTGGGGGAGACGCGTGGACAGATGCTGCGGAGCCCTCCCGAGGCAACACATGGCTGACACCCCGCTTTTGGACACGTAGCCTCCAGAACTGTGAGACGATACACTTCTGTTCCGAGAAGGCCCTTGGTCGTGGCACTTTGCTACATCAGATCTAGTGATGTACCGCGGCGTGTGAATGAACCACACGGTAGAGACACCTCCTAGACTGAAAGCACCTCCATGAAGAGAGGTACTGAGGGGGCTCCAGTCTAGCGACTTCTCGTCTCTATGTTCCAGCACGGTGGCTGGCACATTTAACAGGCACCCAGTAAATGTCTGTCCTACTAAACTGAATGTTTGCTAGTAAATAACAAAGTATAATTTGTACAGTTGGTTAAACTCAGTTATTCTTGAGTTCTTATAATATGCTGTGATTACTGCTGAAGACATCCATTTGGGCTTTTAATTCTAACATGTAATCAGCTTACAGGCTGGTGCGTGAACACATGTACAGGGAGCACAGGAGACTTGTGACGTGAGATCATCAAAAGCACAGGAGCTGAATGCCCAAACACGTGTAACACTGTCGTTTGGTCTTTAGTAAGTCCCTTGCCCTTTCTAATCCTTATTGATTCATTTGCTTAAACATTTATTCAGTGTCCACTGTATGCCTTTTACACAGAGACAAGAGAGGCAAACCTTGACCTGGAGAAGTCTAAAGACACAACAGAGAAATGTAATCGAATGCTTCCTCATCTGTGAAGTTAGAATAACAACACTATCTACCTAATGGCTTTGGCAGTTACAATACTAGCACTTAACTATTAATGTATTTAAAAGAGCTTGTAAATTGCGAAGCACCATACAAACGTTAGTTGCTACTTTGATGATTATATAATCATTCCTCATATTTTCTAGTTTTCTCAGCTTTAATTTCCACTTGATGTTAGTTTCTGAAAAACAGTATAACAATTAACAATTTTTCAAGGAAGTTTTTCTAATATTTCTTTTGGAATAAACCAAGAAGTTTAGAACCCTGGTTCTAACTATATCTGTCAGCCTGCTTCCCAGTTACAAATTTCGAATGTGAACAGTATTTTCGTTTTACAAATTAGACGTTTAATCCACACACCATAAAACTCCCCCCTTGAAAGTTTACAGACAGTTCAGTGGTTTTTCGTGTATTCCCAAGATTGTGTAGCCACCACCATCTAATCCCGGGACACTTTCATCCCCAGAAGGAAACCCTGTCCCCGTTAGCAGTCACTGCCTATTTGCCCTCCCCCCAGCCCCTGGCAAGCACTGGTCTAGCTGGTCTCTATGGAGCTGCCTGTTCTGGGCCTTTCATATAAATGCAGCTACAATACGTGGCCTTTTTCATCTGGTTCTTCCACTTAGCATAATGTGTACGAGGTTCACGCCTGTGCATCAGGTTTCAATACTTCATGCCTTTTTGTGGCTGAATAACATTCCGCCGTGTGGACACATGAGGAGCCCTGGCGGTGCAGTGGTTAAGCACTAGGCTGCTAACAAAGCCTGGCAGGACGAGCCCACCAGCCTCTCCGAGGGAGAAAGATGTGGCGGTCTGCTCCCGTCAAGACTGCAGCCTAGGAAACCCTAGAGGGCAGCTGTGCTCTGTCCTGTAGGGTCGCTATGAGGCAGAATCGACTCGACTGCAATGGGTCTGGATTTGGGTGTGGATAAATTACATTTCCTTTACCCATTCATCCGTTGATGGACATTGGGTTGTTTCTCCTTTTTAGCTGTTAGGAATACTTCCGCTGTGAACATTCCTGTACAAGCTTGTGTCTACCTGTTTTCAGTTCTCTTGGAAACACACCTAAGAGTGAAATGACTCAACTCTGTGGCAGCTCCAAGTTTAACTGCTGGGAGAGTGAGTACTTTGACTTTGATGCCTGCTTTTCCGTAGCGTGATGCACACGCGTGTCTACTGAGGGAACGATAAAAAGCCACCGCAGTGCACGTCAGAAAGGACGCAGTAACAAACAATGAGGGGACTCCACAGCGCTCATAAAACCAAACTGCATTAGGCGTTCCTGCCTGTGGAGTTCCAATTTAACGGTCAGTGCTCCTTTTGAGGGGCATCGGGGAGGTGAGCTGTTCTGAGGGTGTTCGCAATTATGTTTCCACCGCCATGCTCTGGATTAAAAAAATAAACTCTGCTTTCCAAAGTGGACACTGTGCCATAAATGAGCTAAATGGGAAAGCTTGGTTTATACCTTAGTGCACTTTATTCTCCATGCTGGAAATCTCTACCTGTGAGGTAAACCAGTAGGCCATGGCATTCTGGTATCAGCTGCCCTTTGTAGTGGCAACAGAAAGCACAAGGGAGTAAAATGGCTTAGTTCTGACGCAGGGATAAAAGACATATATCTAATTTACAAACCAAAGGTGAGAGGAAGTTTTTTAAATCCCAAATTGCAAGATAGGTTATTTTTACTGAACCATGTGATTTTTTAAATAACTATTCATTAGACTAGGTAGCCATCACATGTTACTGGGAGATATGAGGAGGCATTTACTTGGCTATCAATATACATTAAAGACAAAACAAAAATACTTTGTAATTTTTCCTTTAGAAAAGCCCTTTCTTTCACACGCACCTTCTTCCTAAAGGACGTGATTAAAGTTGACTTCTGTAAGCGTATTTTTTAAACTCGTAAGTTGCCACCTTCTGTTCCTCTACATTTCTGTTCCTTTCTTATCCACTTCCTGCACCGCCCAATCACACCTTATCAGTGCTGACACTTCTGTCTTTGTGAATTCTTTTATATTTGGCTCCCAAGAAAAAGCAGAATACACTCCTTTTAGCAGTAATCTACTGTTGCATAACAAACCAGCCAAAAACGTGGTGGCTGATAGTTAATAATC